TCACAGGTTTAAATGAAATGTTGGTTGGCTGCTTGTTTGTTATTTTCCTCCCTTATTCCTTCCTGTCTCCATTGTTAAGCACAATTATTGGCATAAAAGAGGTTTTCAATACCCATTTTTAGACTGCATTCTAGCCTGGGCAATAAAGCAAGACGCCCGTTCTCTCTCCCTCTCTCTTCCTCTTTCTCTCTTTCATTCTTTTTTTTTTTTCTTTCTCTCTTTCTTTTTTTTCTTTCTTTAAAAAAAAACTATTCGGGCTGGGCGCAGTGGCTCACGCCTGTAATCACAGCACTTTGGGAGGCTGAGGCGGATGGATCACGAGGTCAAGAGATCGAGACCATCCTGGCCAACATGGTGAAACCCCATCTGTAATAAAAATACAAACAAACGACATAAACTCATCATTTCTGATTGCTGCATAATATTCCATGGTGTATATGTGCCACATTTTTCCAATCCAGTCTATTATCTGTGGGCATGGATGAATCTGGAGAACATCATCCTCAGCAAACTGACACAAGAACAGAAATTGAAACACCGCATATTCTCACTCATAGGCGGGTGATGAAAAATGAGAACACATGGACACAGAAAGGGGAGTACTAAACACTGGGGTCTATTGGGGGGAAAAGGGGAGGGCCAGTGGGAGGGGGAGGTGGGGAGGGATAGCCTGGGGAGAAATGCCAGACGTGGGTGAAGGGGAAAAGGAAAGCAAAGCACACTGCCATGTGTGTACCTACGCAACTGTCTTGCATGCTCTGCTCACGTACCCCAAAACCTAAAATCCAATTAAAAAAAAATACAAACATTAGCTGGGCGTGGTGGCGCACGCCTGTAGTCCCAGCTACTCGGGAGACTGAGACAGGAGAATTGTTTGAACCCGGGAGGCGGAGGTTGCAGTGAGCCGAGATTGCACCACTGAACTCCAGCCTGGCACCTGGCAATAGAGCAAGACTCTGTCTCAAAAAAAAAAAAAAAAACCTATTCAACCTCTTTAGTCATCAGGCAAATGCAAGTTAAAATGCCAAATGTGGATGAGGGGCAGGAAGGCAGCAAAACACACTGCCATGTGTGTACCTATGCAACTATTTTGCACGTTCTGCACATGTACCCCAAAACCTAAAATGCAATAAAAAAGAAAAAAAATTATAATGAAATACTAAAATTCATTTCTATTCATCCAATAGAAATGCTAACAACAACAAAAACGACTGATCACATCAAGTGCTGGAAAGGATGTGAAAAAAATATAACTCTCACACCTTGATGTTGGGAACATAGGGAGGACTCACTAGTTTGGTAAACAGTTGGTAGTTTCTCATAAAAGTGAGCATGTACTTACTATGTGATGCAGCAATTCCACTTTTAGGTATTTCCCAGGAGAAATAAAAATATATATTCAAAGAAATACTTGTATGTGACTGTTCAAAACAGCTTTGTTTATAATGGTAAAAATCTGGAAAAAAAGTCCATTAGCAGATGAATGGTAAACAAATTGTGGTATATCCATATAAAGGAATACAAGCCCACAATGAAAGCATTAATTACTGAATATACAACATGGGTGAATCCCAATAGCATTATGATAAGTGGAAGAAACCCTACAAGAAAAGAAAACATACTAGTTGTGATAAATTTATTTAAAATTCTAGAAAAGAAAAAACTACAGTGATAGAAAACACATTGCTTTCAGAGACCAAGTGGGAAGGAGACTGACTGCAAAATGGAATGAGGAATTTTTTTTTTGGTATCATAGAAGTGTCCTATAATATGATTGTGATGATGGTTACATGATTACATACATTTTCAAAAGTTAACAATTGTAGACTCAAAATTGATAATTGCATTTGGTGTATATTATACTTCAGTAAAATCAAACCCTATGAAGAACCCAAAAAAACTAAAACAAAAAAGTATGAGGATTAATCATTCACATGATTTGGCAGCAGCTAAATATCTGCTGCTCTTTTATTAATGAAATCAGAGATTACTCTACTGATTAGAAAATACCAAGTCATGATGTCAGAGACATTCGAACCAGAGCGACTCCATTTTGAGTGAGAGCTAGGAAAATAGGAAAATGAGGCTGAGACTTACTGGGTTGCATTCTCAGAAAGTGAGGCATTCTTAATCTCTAGATTGTTTATGGTTAAGAAAACAAATTAATAATGTTTACTGAACAGACCCAGACTTGGGAGTGTCCAGATATCCTGATATCTGTAGAACAAAGGCATTCCTAATTTTGCTTTAAAGATAATAATATTGATTCTTGCAAAATATAGTAATTAAGAAAATTAACACTTTATCACAAACGCTTGTAGCAGAACACATCTCCCCTTATATACGAGCATTGTACTGAGGGTGGATGTGCTCCTCCTCTTACTTTGAGGGACATCCTACTCTGTCTATGGAGTAGCTGTCCTTTCACCACTTTACGTTCTTAATAAACTTGTTTTACTTTCCTGCAAACTCACCCTGAATTCTTTCTTGGGCAAGATCCAAGAACCCTCCCTTAGTCCCTGCATCAGGACCCCTTTCCTCTAACAATGAGTGAGGCCCTGATGCCAGGGTATATAATTGAAAGAGCTATTTGATATGGCGAATAAAAGGATGGGAGTGTTACATTATTCATTTTGTGAGTGTTATGACCAAAATAAAATTCAATTGCAATACCAAAAAATTCAAAGAAATATGTATAAATAACTTGTATACATGAAAAATATAAAGATTAAAAAATATAAGGATAGGCTGAGAAATTATTTCAAAGTAATGGAGACCACAGAAATAAGAAAACTGAAAATGTGTGAATCCTATCCTACACAAGAAAAACAAATCCATAAATGACACAATTAGGACAATCAATAAAACTTGAATTTCAACTATAGATTATAATATATCAATGTTAATATCTCGGTGTTTTTTAATTATCACATTGGAGTTATGTAAGTGAATTTTCTTGTTCTTAGGAAATGACTGAAGCAGCAACAGGACGTGTTGTATACAATTTACTGTCAAGTGGTTCTTAAAAAACAGAATAAGGGAAATGGGATAAAAGGTAAACAATGTACCTGGATAAGGTGTATACAGGAGTTTCTTGTACTATTCTTGCAATTGTTTTTCTAAGTTTAAAATAATATGAAAATTAAAAAGTTATTAATACTATATGGGGGGAGGGAACTGGAGCCTAAAATGAATTATATAATTACAGGAGTAGTTCTGTCAAAGGATAATTAGAAGTAGCTTTAATGTGTTTAATGGTTATCAGGTTTAATGCCTGGTAGTATGAATGACTACTTTATATTGATTTTATGTTTAAAATAAAATAGTAACTTCAATTTTTTTTTAACTTTTGTTAAGAAATTAGCAAAATAACCATTCATTTTATTATGGCCTTTTAATAATTTTTGTCTGCTTTGTTTCCTGAGAATCTAAATTCATTTAAACTTGTTATGAAAAAGTTAGTTTATGTACCCATCTCTAAAATAGAAGAAAACGTAAAAATAGAGCAAAGAAAACTCTAAAAATGGAAATTTAGTTATTATAAATAGAGGTTGAAGAAATATATTTTCTAAATATCATAGCACTAAATCATTCAGAAGCCATTCGTGTGCCAGTGTCACGCTAAATCTTAGCAAAATGAACTAATACAGAAAAAAATCTCCCAGATGGTGAGCTTCCGAATTCATGGTTTCATACAGTGCCATGGCTATCCATCACCACCTTCCTGTTCCTTGGAGCTCTTCTACTTTCACCTCCTGCCTTTCAGCAGAAAAGTCAACATCAGATGCTGTTTTCTACACTGGAAACTCAGACTCCGTTGTAGTTTAGCTGAGTAATTAACAGGTATTAAAGACAATTTAGAACTCAACTAAGGCTTTCTCCCAGAAGGAATTAGAAAAATTGACTAGGCATTCACTGGGCATGAAAAGAGATGGAACTTCAGTGTATTTGTGCTATGAATTACAGGAATTTGTGAAGCTGATTCATGGGAAAACATGGTCCTCTTCCCTCCCAATGACAAACTCTCTAGCAGTTGGGAGAGTGATATATGGTGCAGGGGTTCCTAATACAAGCAAAAAGTTGTCCCTTCTTCCACACCTGCACACACAAAATTAAAATAAAATTCTGATACAGATTCACATGAAAATGAGAAAAAACAAAAAAATGCAATATACAAATGAGATTCCAGGAGTAATGAGCCAGCTATACTTGATTTTAATCACTATTCTAATATTGACCAGGTATCAAACTTTAGTTTTCAATTGCATTTTCTGTAAAATAAATCCTAGTATGCAGTTATTTTAATGATTAAATATATTAAACTTACTATATTTAGCTCCTAATAAAGACAGAGTAAGTAGAAACTTATTATAATTATGAAATGATCAATGCATACTATATAATTTGTATGTTTTAAACATTTATATTAATAAAATCTCAAAGTTCATTTACAACACTAAGTATCCCAGTTTGCCCAATCCACTATTATATTTATTATTCTATCAGGTGCTAAGATTAGGTTGGAAGCAGGGGCTAATATAAGAAAACAAAAAGCTGAAGCAAAAAAGTTTTTTTAAGAAAAACTTGCAGTAAAGAAATACAGCTTCAATGTGCTTCTTTTGTCTTCAAACACAATCTCATCTCTCTCTGCACAGAGGCAGCCTGGTGTTTTGATGAGGAGCTCTGGCAACAGAAATAAACTGCCTTGTCTTAAATCCTTGATAACCCCTGGCTAACCATGCAACCTTGGGGACAATAATCATATTCACTTATGAGGATCTTGTGAGAATTAAATGAGTTAAATACAGAAAGCATTAAAAAGAGCATGTGTCTGGTATACAGAAGATACCTTCTCAATAAAGAGAAAGAAGTCCTTCAGTAATGTAATGCCTCTGGTCACTGAAAATTTTCAGTGACTACTAATTTGAAAAAAAAAAAGCCTAAAGACATACACTATCCTTAGTTCTAATGCAGTGTTTACGGTAATTAAAATGTCATACCTTATAAACTGCTAAATGCAAGGCTGTGAATCCATTTCTTGTCAGTCGAGATGGGCGGAGCCCTTTCAACATAAGGGTTCGAATATGTGATTTGTTGCCTTAAAGATAAAAATGAAAAAAGGCTAAATCGTTGTGGGGATGGGGTGAGTTTAAGACTCCTTGACTTAATGATAAATTTTATATAGCTGTATAAAAATGTCAAGCTGATGTTCTGCAGGTCATTTGCAAAGTTTTCTATTAATTGACAACCTTACTTACTAGGTGACATTCCTTTTCCATTTATAAAACCTTATACTAATGCTGTGTATTTTGGCTCTGTGTCTTAGATTTTTATTTAGTACCCTCATCATCAGATGGTTTTGAAACATAAACACATAATTCACCGTAATAAACTATTAGTGAATAAGCTTAAATTTAAAAAAATCTAGTTGTAGAGGATTTCTCTGAACATTATTAACACTAGAGCTTATTTAGGTAGAAGATATATAAAGGGTATAACCAAGGCTGGGGAGGCACGTTTAAAGTTGAGAGAACTATCTGTTAAGCAGAGTCTGTTTGCTTTGTTCCGGAGAAATGGTTAAGGGATATGGTTAGAGCTGACACGTGCACATTTCTGTTCCATTTTAAGAAGTTAAGTTCAATGAATTTAGTTTGGATTTACAAAATAAATATTAACGGTTCACTTAATAATTCAATAACTTTACTGAGTAGCTACCATATGCCAGGCACCATTCAAAGTGCTTGAAATACATTAATAAACAAAAGAAAGTGTAAGCAAAATTAAACTCTTAATGCTCACGTCGATCAATCTTTACTTTTAGATTTTATCTTTGGCATTTGTCACTTTTCCACATACTCTTGTTGCATATTGTAAAGCAACTGCTTGGTGATATTTTGGGGAATGCTTTAAGTGCTTCTGAATTTAAGTTAATCCCTGACTGGCATGCCTAATATTGAAAAGTGCTTTTGGATTTCCAAGCAAACTGAGTGACTTGGTTTCCGGTAGAAACACAATGAAGCTTAAATTTAAAGCAGAATCAAGTGGAATATTCTGCCTGGTAGTTACTGCCTAATCTGAGATTATCAAGGTTGAAAAAGGCAAAGCAGAAGAGGAAACTGAGTATGAATAGAATTCTCTTGGAGACTGTTAAGCAGCTCAAGTCACTGAACATATGCACATATAACCAGTTTGAGAAGTACTAAGTTTCAAGTACTCACCTCCACAAATGCAACATAAATGAAGTAGAGACAGCCCATTTTCAGTGCGGTATTTTAAATTGACTTTACTGAAGGCTTCATCAGAGCTGAAAAATATTTTACAAATAATCACAAAATTCATCTTTTAGCATATTGTCTTTCATTTGAAAATTATAAATGCAAATCCTATTACTATCAATCAGAAATGTATTTTATCTAAGACTATTTTGCACTTACAGAAAGTCTTGAACCCTCTATATGAAGAAGTAAAATTGAAAGGAAATTCTGTAGTTTTACGTTGCAGTGATACCACCGGATGTAACACTACGATTCCAATAGTTGCTCTGGAATCACTGTCAGCTGCTAGATGTCACAATAGCAAATTTAGTGGCACTTTTTAAAGATACGTAAACAGATCAGACATAATATAGGAACTTGAGAGTCACTGTGAGTACAGAATACTTATATAATATATATATAAAAGTGATTATAAAAATCAGAAAATTGTACAGGTTGTCAAATACAAAAGGTCAAGAAAAGTCAGATATGGCTTGAAATTATAGGGGCCAAGAAAGACCTTCCCCTTTGTCTCTCTAAAGGTTCACTGAAATCAACTGACAAAAGGGATATTAATAGAAGAAAAGTCATAAAATAAATTTGATTATAGGTTTACAAGGCACAAGAGACACAAGACATAAGAGCCTTCAGAATGAAGACCCAAAGATACAGGGACCACTCATTTTTATGCTTAGGTAAAACAAAGTATGGACAGCCATGTAAAAATATGATTGGAAAAGAAGAGTATGATCTAATGCTAATAGGAGAATGGAAATCCAGAAAGGTCTATCCTTCTTGGCCTCTGTGAAGCATTCCTTCCTTCTAGGTATGAGGCAGGGCTCTCTTTGGAATGGGAGTCTTTTATAACCTAACAAACAAGATAGGTCAGATTATTTATGTCCAGTTTTTACATAGAAATGTTGCGGGGGAGGTTGTGGTTACTGTAATATTTTTAGGTTTTATGGCTGGCTTTGGTGAAAACAGGTTCTAGTTTCTATGACCTGCCTTGAAGGGAGAGGGATTTTAGTTTATCTGGCTATCCACTGGGGAAAATGAGGAGCCAGAGACAAGAGGGTAGGAGAAGATCAGAGAGAAACTTTTGCCTCTGAGGCTGCTTGTAAAGCCTTCATTTTGAGGTATCATTTTCTGAGCCTCAATAAAAATGATGCTAAAATAATCTAAAGAGTTATACTTCAAAAAGAAAGTTACATTTACAGTGACGTTGGCAATGGTACCAACAGTGCAATAACCATTTTTTGTTTACGTATCACATGCCAGATACTGTAGTAAGCACTTAACCTTATTTATTCCTCACCACAGCACAGTATCATGCATATTATCATATATATTATTTTACTCATTTTATAATTGAAGAAACTGAAGCTTAAAGAGGTTAAATAATTCACTCAAGTTGGAAAAAAAAGAACAAACTACTTAAAAGGCAGAATCAGGATAGAGTTTGAATCCTGGTGTAACTATAAAAACGAGGCTTTCAAGAATTACCATGCTGATGAAATGATTTTTTTTCACTTTGAAAACATCAGAATATAACAGGTATTGCTATATAATATTGGACATATATATTGTAAAACTAATTTTCTTGGGGGTTTATTGCTACATAGGAGCTCCAAAGCTTCAGTATTTGACATTAAGTTCATTATGGTTAGCTCAAAAGAACCTGCGTCCTTCCCTGTTTTGCTTAGGCTGCAAGTTACATAGTTTTTCTCGTGATGGGAAGGCCTCTCTATCCTCCCCCAACCCAATACTTTATTTTCTTTCTTGTGCTTTTATAGTGTGTTTCATTTGCTGGATAATAGAAAGACCCTGGAAGAAAAGCTGAAGCAGCTCAGAGCTTCTGAATCATTGTCCATCAACATTCTCAGTTTCCAGTCACAGTTTTCTTTCCCTTTATATTTATGGACACTGATTTCCTACAAACTTTAAGAGAAAAATCCAATCTGCCTAGCTTGAAAGGCAGAGTTCAGCTCTGCCGAACACCTCTGCTATTTGAAGTCTTAACCACAAAGAAGACCTCTGTGACCTGTGAATGCATTTCCGAGGGTGTTCCAAGTACCTAGTTTACCTTCTTCCAAGACATCCATAATATATTTGGCTCTGAGGGTTTAAAAGCCTGGCTGGGGCAAAGACCACACATTTCTAAGAACCATGTTATTTTGTGAAGTTATGGCCATACCATAAATAACATTATCATTTATAAGAAAGCTCATTTTATTATAAGTAGACATTTAAAACAGTGGCATTTTCATCAGAAATGATTTTGATTGCAGTATTCTTTGAGCTGGGAGAAACTGCTGATAGAAGTGAGTTAAATCTTAACTATCTTTCATGAAATTCTAAACTCTCTGCTTATATTATTAACATTTATTAACACTGGAGTTTATTCTACTTCTACAAAAGGCATTCCAAAGCAAGGTAAGGTGTGTTTCCCAATATTAGCCAGCATGTCTACGTGCTTTGCTGCAGGGAAACACAGAAAGCAAGAAGGGTGGGAGGGTAAAAAAGTTTGGGAATATTATATTCCCATGGCTGTGAAAACAAACCACTAGGCTTGCCATTTCTAATTAAAGCATTTCACTGAGGTTCTTCAATGACCCTGGATTTAGAGCCTTTCTCTTTTTAGCAGTGCCCTGGAGAATAGCACTTTTTCTTTTTCTATTTTAAAATTCCAATAGCTTTTGATGTTCTTAACTTGGTGCCTTGATGATAATGTTCTGAATTTATAGTACCTTTCAAGTGTAAGTACTTTACAAGTGATATGAGACTTTGGCTCACTCACCAAAGACTATGCTATCTCTCTAAAGCTGCTGGAGATTTAAATAGGCAGGAGGCAGCTTGAAATTGACCTGTGAGGCCAAGGATATGATCTCATTTCTACTGAAAAATGTCCTGGGAGCACCAAGGACCTCAAGAGGTCGAGAATTTTAGCTTTACATTCCTTTTGAAAGGCTACCTGTGGCTCTCTAGGGCCCTCCTGGGGCAACGGTCTTTGTTCAGACAAAGGCAAGGATTTCATTAATAGAATCACTCCACTTCTCACCTGGGACTATATCACAGTACCCTACCAGAGTTTAGACCTTTATCTGTGAAATCTGACCCAATCAGAGTGTACAAGAGAACTGTGCTTCCGGCAGAAGCTATAATACGTTGGGATTATATTCTTTTTTCAAATATCTTATCACATGGTACTTCCACCCCTTTCTTTTTGGAGAGATTTTCCTGAATTTCTCCATAGATATTATGTGAGATTTTGGATATGAGTGAAATGAGTTTACTTTCAGATGTCTGTTTTCTATGTATACATAATTTTTATTCATCAAGGTGCCCTGAAAAGTTCAAATTATACATGGAACACAGAACTGCACATGAAAGTCTCTTATTTAAACTTGATCTCTCGAACTTTTAATACTAATATATTTTCAACAGTGGAGTTATTCAAAGAATGAAAATTCCAAAGGGGCGGAGGGAAGGTCAAAGTTGAGATGAAAATCACTTTATTTGAGAAGGTAAACTTAATTGCTTTCTGATTTTGTGATCTAACTTTGATGATCCATTCAATAAGTCTGGCACGACACCTACTAAACACCTGCTATACGCCCCACCTCTGTTCTTAAGGCTCGCTTCAGGTTGTTTCAGAGTTTCCTTAATATACACTATTCACTAATTCCTGGATCCTTTGAATGCATCAGTCCTGGAAATATATATACTAGATAAAACCCTGAAATTGACTGTAGTGTTAGTCCTGATATCTAATACTCTGACCAGCTTTGCAAAGCAAATGAGCATGGATAAACAGAAAATACAAGATGCCAGTGTCCATTGCTTTATTTTTTAAAAAGAAAAGCACTTAGTGAAGGTTTATGGTTTACATAAATAAGATTGAAAGATTAATGACTCTTTATTCAACAATTATTCCTCAGCTAACTGAATCTTAAACTAGACTTTACCATCCATATGTGACTCACTGGAGAGTCCTAAAGAGTTCCTTGCTTTAAACTGAGCTGCCGCTTGTTGCTTTTGTTCTCTTCTTGAATTATATCCTCCTTGAACTCATGCAACTTCTATTAATGTCAACAAAATGAATCAACAGAGAATAGACTCCTGTAATGTTTGGCAGTCAAGTGTGATTTTAATAGTACAATTTTTAGCTCAACTTTAATAACTGGAATGTACATTTTTAAAATGAGAGTTACTTTGGGGGCTATATTTGAATCCTAATTCTCACTTCCCATTAACTTCTAGTCAAACGTTTCTGTTTTGAAACATGTAATTAAAATATTCAAGATATTTAAGCAATCATTCCTAGGAGAGAAATTTCATTTTCTCTTCTTTTGCCTCTTCTAAAGTAACTGTGTATGTCAAATTCACTGCCAATTGAGCATCACTTATGTATTCTAATACCCTAAGCTCAATTTATTTTTTAATTTCTCCTTTCATTTTTCATCACCTGCCATGCCACACTATAACTTAACATATCCTAATGAGTTCATAGTGCATGCTGGGGCATGAATGAAGTTCCTAATTAAAATAAAGCCACTATTATGAATATATTTCTAATAGTAAATGCTGTCCTTAATCATTAAAAATGATAGTTCTGTACTCAAAGGTTACTTTTTTTCTTGTAGCATAATGAATATCTTTTCTAGCCTTTACCTTTTACCCAGAAAAGTGTGCCGTTTTGTGATACAATTAAACTTCTTTTTCATGACCTCATCCTTTCAAGAAAATATCTGACATGACCACAAGTGGAAACTTATTAAAATGTAACATTTGAACAGTTGGCCAAAAAATAACACACTGCTGTCCAAGGTATTCAGACAGGTAGATACATTTTAAAGTTAATTCATTGGTTAAAACTTATGGGAAAGCCAAGAATGTAGAAAGAAGGTAAGGATATTTTATGGGTAGTCTAGTTTCCCAAATTAATCATTTAAGTTTCAAATGGCTAGTTGCAATGTCTTGCCTATTCATTGCAGATTCTTCCCTGACCCATCCCTCCAAGCAATAGAAGTAGATAAATAATTAGTAAGAT